GTTTGTTACTGTGAATTTGCAGTGGTGTCAGTAAACTGTGGCAGTTCATACAGTCATTGCACTTTGTATCCTCTGTGCTTTTTATTGGGTCCCATGTGCCAAATTCTGTTCTGTGCATGTTGCTGCAGTGTAGTGGAGGGGAGCCACAGGTGTAAAGGGTACACTGGAAGTGGGAGAGAATTGAGGTAGAATAACTGGAAAAATACTTTAAAATTCACCCATAAAAAACTCTGGTTTAGATGAGTAATTTTGTGTCCCATTCTGAACATGATTCTTCTGCAAAGGGTGAGAGATTGATGTGGTTTGGTTGTACAAGTTGATGCTCTTTCTGTTTGTAGTAACATCCACAGCTGCTACAACTGCCTCTACCAGCACAACCTCTGTTCTTGGCTCAACGGGGCCAACTTTGTTTGCATCTGTGGCGAGTTCTGCAGCCCCAGCATCATCTACCACCACAGGCCTCTCACGTAAGTCTTGATTTACAGACGTTATCAATTTGGGGACTCAACAGCAGCAGGGTTGGTGTCCCTGTCAGTAGTGGAGCTGCAGATGCTGGGGTAATATGGGAGAACTTGCTGTTTGTCACCTTCCGTCTTTGTGTCCACACTTCTATAAGAGTCATGGGCTGAAGGTGGAGACACAGTGTGCTAAAACTGAGTATTCACACAGCTGTGTGTGTGCCAGCTCCTCTGGTAATAACTGGCAAGTTTCCTCTTGCAATATTATTTCTATGGGAGAAAATAGTATTTGTTTTCTGATAGCTTTAAGGCAGTAGCCCAGGTTTGAAGATAGTCCCAACAGCTTTCTCAGCCTGTAGTAAGGAAACTTCAGTTCCCTTTGATTATGGGGACTCTCTGCAGTAGAGGTCTATGTTGACTAGAGTTAATACCACATAATGCTTTCTTACTGTGTCCCTTTAACATTCAGGCAGCAGGTCCCAAGGATGTTCACCAGTTTTCTGTTAAAGCCATAGGGATTACTTGTAACTAGTCAGCTGCAATTTGTAGGCACCATATATACCAGCCTAACAAGTTGTACTTTTAGTAGCTCTACAACACTTACATTGGTACTCTATGTCCAAAGCAGACCTTAATCTTAGTGTTTTAGACTGCTCTTAAGCTAATGGGCACTCTCTGTTTAGTAGAACATCTGAAGCCTTGTTCTTAGATGAGCATAGGTGGGTTGTTTCCAGGCAACTGAATGTTGGCCAGCCTGTTTCCTCTATTTTTGCCTTAGCAAGTAGCCTCATGCCAAGATTGCACTTCCTGTTGTGCCAGTGTCCAGTACCCTTTGCTTATATTAGCATTTGATAGCAGTTAATTGTTAGATAAATCAAAATAGTTAAAGAGAAATGACGGTAGCTTTGCAGCTGGGTTGATTCCTGGAAGGTTCCTGGAGTAATTGCAGAGCACTATGGTTTATAGCTTTAGCCTTTTTTAATGTCATGTCCCAATGACCCTTCACCTGAGCAGTGATTGTGGTTAATACAAGTACAGGCCAGATGGAGGCGGGTGAGCAGGCAGGGTAGAGCCCCTTTTCAAATGGGTTACACAAACTCTTCATGATGTCTTCTGTTTACAGTTGGTGCCCCTTCCACCGGGACAGCCAGTCTTGGGACGCTTGGGTTTGGGTTAAAAGCTCCTGGAACAACAGCTGCTGCCACAACAAGCACTGCCACTGGTAAGGACTAGATTTAGAAAGTAGCTGAGGAGAAAGAAGCTTGACTTCAGTGCTGCTTATTAGTGCAAAGGGCCACTCTAGTGTAGCCGTTTAGCAGTTCTAATTTCTAGTGCTCTCCAGTAACTGAAAATAACACAGTATCCTCCTCTTCCATCTCCCCACATGCACATTTACTAACAGCTTCTGAGAGCCTGTCTCCAGTAAAGGGACCTTGGGTGAAGGGTGGGCTTTGATGTTCTAGTCTGGAGCAAGTAAAGTAAACAGATTAGCTGCTCCTTCTCTAAGCTTGGCTGTGTAGGTGCAGGATTGCTCTAAGAGGTGAGGGAGGTGTACTGATTGGCTGAGGGATAGGCCAAAAGCTGGGGGGGAGTGTTCGGGAGACATGGTTTATATTTCAGTTCTGCCCCATTGATCTGTTTCTTCCACATTACAAGCTTCAAATGAAACTTTTCTTCAAGGAAAAGAAAACCCCAAACAAGCCACATTTATTATTGTATTTAGGCTACCACCTAAATTCAATCTGTATTTAGGTGGTAACACTCATGTGAAAACCCGCAATGGAATTTGCTGCTGCAGAGTGTTGGGGTTCAGGACTGAACATCCATCTCAGGATACAGTTTCCATTTACTGTGTAGTAACATGGATGCTGCTCAGCTCTCAAGGTCTTTCTAAATCTTGTTTCTGGAGCAACTGAAGAATTTGAGCTCAAAGCCTAGAAGTGCTGTGTGACTGCCTGACAGTGCCATATGGTAGATGCTCTTAGCTTTGTGGAAACACAGAAACCACCTCTTCTGCAAAGATGCAGGAGAAGAACCGGGTTTGCTGGTAGTTATTAGGTCTAATACTAAAAACTGAGCGGCTAGAGAGCAATGTGGGTTAATACATAAGTTCTTTGAATAATGTCCAGGTTAAATGCAATTTGCCAATTCCTCATTTTACTGGAACTATTAGTCAGGCATTTAGTGTCCACTAAACTGTGGCAAGATGTGCTTCACTCCCTTCTTGCCAGACATGAGATTTAATTTTTGTAGGGGGCCTGGTTGAGCTCACACAGCACTGTGCTTAGAAGTGAACACTGGACCTGTTCACTATTTGTTTGATAGCAGATGAGTCCTCACCAGTTGCTTGACTCAAATCTCTTCTTTCAGGCACCACTACTGCTTCTGGCTTTGCTTTGAATCTTAAGCCACTGACTACAACTGGTGCCACTGGAGCTGTGACTTCTACAGCTGCCATCACCACAACAACAAGCACCAGGTGAGTAACTTGGTACAAGTGACTGTTCTGATGAGGGCAAGAGGCAGTATCAGTGCTGGTGCCTGGTGGAGCAGGGGGAGGTGCAGGGGGCCATGGCAGGGGGAGGTGAGTGGTGCCATGTTTACGTGTTGGGTTTGATCCTGTGCTCTGCACTGTCTCACGCTTCCCCTCAGTGCGCCTCCGGTGATGACCTATGCCCAGCTGGAGAGTTTGATAAACAAGTGGAGCCTGGAACTGGAAGACCAGGAGAAACACTTTCTCCATCAAGCTACACAAGTTAATGCCTGGGATCAGACACTGATAGAGAATGGAGAGAAGGTAAAGTGACATCAAGCGTAACCTGGTTTGTCAGCTTAGATCCTTAAAGGCCTTTAATGTTACAGGTGCAGATGTGAATTATATCTGTGTGCTTTTGAAAGGCTCATGGTATGTCTGTTCTGGTTGATAGACGTTGATGCTTGGAAATCTGTTCTGTGAGTTTACGCTATAATAACAGTTAGGGTGGAGTTTCAGAGCCAAACCTCTGTTGTTCAGGTTTTGGTCTGTAAATCTTTATGTAACTGTTTCTTGTAGACATTTTTATGGTGCCAGCTTTCTCAGTTCCAGCACTCTTCTTTTATGGGTTGACTTTTGAATTTTTGTAGTATAACATGGTGTCCTGTGTTTCCAGATTACTTCATTGCACAGAGAAGTAGAGAAAGTGAAGCTTGATCAGAAGAGGTATGAGACTATGAACGCTTGAAATAATGCAAAAAAACCCCAAAATCTTCTTGCGTGTGGAACAGCAGCTGTAGAATGTACATGGCCTCTAAGTGGTTTGGTAAACATTTGTCTTTTCAGACTGGATCAGGAACTGGACTTCATTCTGTCCCAGCAGAAGGAGCTTGAAGACTTGTTGACCCCTCTGGAGGAGTCTGTGAAGGAGCAGAGCGGGACCATCTACTTGCAGCACGCAGATGAAGAACGGGAGAGGACGTAAGGCACAACTCTGTCTTGGACATGTGCTGAGCAAACTAATGTGGTGATCAGTCAGCAAGATGTAGAGTTGGGATGCATGACAGTGTTGGTCTGTCAGAGGCCTTGGTCAAGCAAGTAACCCTGTTTTCTGCATGGCAGCATAGCTTTTACGCATTAGAAACAGGAGAATTGCGAGTGGAAGCCCTTGCATCAGCATGAAAATCTCTTCAGGTGTTGTTGTCTAATCAGCTGTCTGGGAGCAGGTTACTAATTTTGGCATAATACCGATCAGAAGAGACAGAGGTTAGGCATTACCTCATCCGTGTGCTAGATTGCCTCCCAGGGTGTTGTTCCCACATACCTGGCCTTGCTTGAAAGGTGTGGAAGCTAATTCTGACTGCCAAAGCTGGTGTGACGGGGAGCACCTGAAGTTCACTTCAAATATTCTGACCTTTGGTTTTGTATGTTTTGCAGTTACAAACTGGCTGAAAACATAGATGCTCAGTTGAAGCGCATGGCTCAAGATCTGAAGGACATCACTGAGCACTTGAATACGTCAAGAGGCCCAGCGGACACGAGTGACCCGGTAAATCCAAGCTTTATTTTTCATGTGTTCTTCATTTGTCCACTTTCGGATACTCGTCTGCTTGTAGTTTCAGGCTGGGAAGGGTGTTTTGTTTTGTCCTTGGGTTAGTTCTCTTGGTTCTAACACAGCACAGCCAGCCTGACACATGCAGTTATTCTGCAGTTCTGTTGACACTGTTTCAAAGTGTCTCATTCTGTAGGAACCCTGGTTATCTGATGTCTTATTTTTGCCAAGATTACAGCGTGTTTCAGAGGCAGCCCTTAACCTTGATGTGGCTGCCTGCTCCACCACTTGCCTCTTTCTTGTTGCTAATCTACATTTTGATTAGAATGCCCTCTGTGGTTATTGATTGTTTTTTCTTATTCTACTTCTGTATCCTCATGAAAACAAGGTCTGAGTTACAGCTCTTTCTGGTATATGTTAAATTGATCTCAATGCTCTTTGTGGTTTTACTGAGAAGCTTTCT